CGGCGAGGATCTTGCTTGCCACAGGGCCTGTGGGGCAGGGGAGGGAGGCAGACAGGACATTTTGGGGCTGTGCTGACTTAGTTCCCTGTGTCCTTCACCAGACCGATGGAAATGGGGATGGGGTGTCCTTCATCTTGGGATACCCTTGGGGTCCCCAGCCCCGGCTTGGGGCCCCCAGGGGCTGTTGGGTGAGTTGCCATCTTCTGCTCCCCCTTGCACTCCTCCCCCGCTCTTGCCCAAAGGACACAGTAGCCGGAGCTACTGGATTTTCTTTAACCTTGGAGCCCTCGTCTAGAGGGGAAGCAGCTCTTGGCGCCGGGCTTGGAGCCTGCATCTGGGTCATCTCGTCCCTCCCACGCCCCCGCCCCGCACCTCTGGGAGACCACTCTGCAGATGGGGAGCCTGAGTTCGGTAGCGTCGCTGGAGGCCATCAGACCACTCTCATTTTTGTTACGCAGCTCCTGAGCCCCCTGTAAGGGAGCAGGGGACTACTGCCGGCCTCTCACGCACCCAGCCGAGAGCATGGTGTCTCTGGGGCTGAGGGGGGGAAGAACTGCTGATGGAAATGGGCCCCATCCCCCGCTGGGGGCTCCCTTTCCTCCAAAAGGGCAGCTGGGAGGTCGTTTGTGGCACTCCTGTACCCCCAGCCTGGCCAGTGTACTCTGCCCCCCTTCCTGAGGGGTTCGGCTCCTGGGCGGGGACCTGGCCATCTCCCTCTTTCCCTGTGTCTCCCCCAAGTCTATCAGGAGGCAGCTTTGGAGGTCCCCAGTCCTAGGACAGTGCATATTCCTGCACATGTGTGTGTGTGAAAGTGGGTCATGGTCCGGATTCCAGAGAATGTTTTTCCTGGCAGGCCCCTGAGGGGGTGGGGGGGGTGGAGGCCCAGGCAGGGGCCTGTGCAGCTAGGCAGGCAGAGGCCAGCAGACTGGGTGGTGACAGGGCTGGGGCACTCTGCCAGCGCCTTCCAGGCATTGGCTGGGGGGAGAGGAGCTGTCACTTTGGGGGGGCTAAAGGGGGGCAGGGACTACCCTGTTCTAGTTTTCCAGCCAGGTTGTGTGTGTGCTGGGGTTTTGTACTGGGAGCAGTCTGGGCTGAGCTCTGGGATAAGCCCAGATGGGGGTGAGGGCCAAGCTTTAACACCAGCCATTCCTTTGCTTCCAGACTTCCAGCTGGCCTTCTTCCCAAAAGAGTGGTTCTCCTATCTTCATTTACTATTCCACCTTGGGCGAGTCTCCTTGATAGGGAAAGTACTCTACTAGAAGGCGCTTACCCCCACATTATCCCCTGGTCTCTGGTTGAGGTGGGCCAGGGTGATAGCCCAGCCTCTCAGCTTCCTTTTTTCTGCCCCCTCCTCCCAAGTATCCCAGAGGCGCCCGTTGGCTGGGCAGCACGTTTAGAAGAGCACTGGCTTGGGAGAATTCCTTAACAGGTGGCCGAGAGCCAGCTCTGTGCTGGGCACCTTCGGAAGTCTCCCCCTGGGCCCTTCCCGGGCTCCTGGCCTCCTCCTTTGAGGGGTCAGGAGTGTCTTCCTCTGACCACTAGGAAATGGGGCAGAGGCAGGCCCACCAGGTCACCAGACAGCCCAGATTCTGGGGTCCTGGAAGCTGGACTCCAGGTTGGTGTTGATCCTGGGGCCTCATCCTGGGCTGCCAAGGGGCGTGATCTCTCGATCTCTGTCTCATTGGCGTGGGTTTGCCTGGGCATCACCATTTCTCAGGATGCGGGCACTTCTGTTGCATCGGTCCTCCTTCCCTTCTGGTCTTGGACGCTCTTCCCCTCGACGGCCCCGCCCCATGGTTTGCTCCCTGGGTTTTGCTGGAGTCTTAACCTGCCACTCATTCGCACATGCACTGTGGCTGTGGTTGGGCACGGTGGAGCCCCGCCTGCTCCCCAGCACACACCAACCTCCACGGGGAGCTGCTGAGCCCCATCGGCTGGGTTTGTACCTGTCGCGGTGCCCGGCACCTAACATTCGGGTACTTAGAGGGGCCAAGCACTGTGCTGAGTGCTTTACAGGTGATTTCTCATTTAGTGCTCAGTATTTGGTATTATTTTTACGTTCATTCTGCACATGTGGAAATGGCTCGGAGGCATGGGCCCTGACCGAGGTCTCAGGGCTCGTCAGGGTGGAACTTTGATGTCCCCCGTGGGGCATACCCTCCAGGCAGAGCTCTGTAGTGCTTCGGAGGGAG